GCAAGGGAAGTGTTGGAATATTTGAAACCACAAATGCACTTCCAATTGCTGTTCGGGTAAAACTCTCCAAATTTGTCTGAGTATCCTTATTAATTTCAGGTCTTGGTGGATTTCCTTCAATTTTCCCTGCATTAAAAATTTCCTTGTTTATAATGAGCACAGCACTACTAGTATTTTCAATTGAATCCCCATCCTACTTATTTTCTCCTTTTATCTATACATATAAAAACCTAAGCGACCATTTGACCAGTAGCTATGATGCGCACTAATCACCAGGGGACAGAACTCAATGCAAAGGCATGGAAACATGGAACAGACTGATGAATCTCAGAGAGAAGTGGGGCAAGGAGAGGGCAGGAAGAGATTAACCAAAGATCTTTTATGCATATTAGAGGCCTGGTGCAGAGATTCGTGCACAGGTGGGGTCCCTCGGCCTCGCCTGTAGGGATTGGGCTGAAACTGGCTCTCTGACATCCCCTGAGGGCTCCCAGATTGCAAGAGGGTGCAGGCCAGGCCGAGGGACCCCACCAGGGCACGAATCCATGCACCAGGTCTCTAGTATATATATAAATGGGTTGGGCAGAAGTAATTTTACAGTTGTGAGTATACGAAACAGAGTTCTTATATTGTTTATTATTGTCTTATTTTCCACATAAACAACTGTAAATCTACTTTTGGCCATATATATATATATATTACTAAGTAAAACAGAGTTTATATATTTATATATATTATATATTATATATTTTATATCTATATTACTAAGCAAAACAGAGTTTATTCTTATATTACTTATTATTGTTTTATTTTCCACATGAACAACTATAAATCTACTTTTGCCCCACTATATGTATATTTTACTGAGTTTAGTGACAAAGTCATAAGCATCCAATTGGTGGGAGAACTTGTTTTCTTTAGTATCCTGACCAGGATATTGTAGGATAATGAATTGTAGGATATAATTGGATAATGAATTGCTAAGGAATTAAGGCTGCCCTGAATGGAAATAATATTATAAAATTCAACGTATGCTTTTAGTGGGGATTCTTTGTTTCTCAATTTATCTTTAAGCTGGGAATAAACCTGGGGAAATTGGTTCTGGTTTCCCTCTAACCACTGTACAACGTTCTTCCCTTCCTCCCTGTTGCAAGTGCTGATGGGTAATACTTCAGGTTATATTCCAATTGTCAACAGAAAGCCCAAGAAAAGCCACAATATAAGAGAAAAAACAAAGGGAAATTAATAAGGACTAAATTCTTAATCCTTATCATCACCTTTCTCAATACATTTTTCTTTTGACTTAATAAAAATATTCAAAATAAATGTTTATTCCCTGGCTTATGCTTAGGTACATAACATATTACCCAGTTTCCTTCACCCTTAGTTGAAAATTTGGCATGTTATTGTTGCTGTAGGTAAGGTGCTCCAAATTAATTTAATGGCTGACATTTATTGAATGCTTACTATATGCCAGACACTGTACCAAAGCATAGGTTAATTTAAAGGCAAATCTCAGTATGACCGAGAATTTCATTCCAGAAATGGGAAAAGCTATACTTTGAGTTGTAAAATGTTTGAAGCCTTAACCATATCATCTCACAAGTATTCCGGCCAGCATTGTGTTTCAGATATTGTGAGTTACTCACCATTCACTACCCAGCCTGGTATGTATGCAGCTCTATTTGGTGGATGCCTTAAATTTCGTGCGGCAGTGTTTGCTCCTGCATGTGCTCGCACTTTTAAACTATACCTGCCATTTTCTGAATAAGCTGTAAAATATCTGGAGTAGACCCCATCATCCTTGAAAGTGTCAGCACCTTGTTATAGAAATTAAAGAATGAATTATTATTGTAAAGAAAAAGAGAAATTTATGCATTTTCCAAGTCAAGCGTATATCCTTTGTAAGCATATCCCTTAGAATGAGCTCCCTATTTTTCATGGGCCAGCTCTTGATGATAGGATTATAAATGGTCTGAATTAATTACATTGCATAAAATACTGATAGAAATCCATGGTAATCCAGATTACTATCAAATTGGTGGTGGTTTTTTTTCCCCCCTTGCTCACTGAACTCTCAAAAAAAGGTTCAGTTCCCAGAATAACCCAGAGTCTGTGAAAAGATCGTTAAGCACTGCTCACCATGCACACCAGGGAGAGAGCATGGCCCACACTGTGTCTTGTTTCATGCCAGTCAAACCTGGTATCCGATGCCCTTGTAATGTCCCCTCCTGTCTTGTGGCAGTTCTGCCTGACCTTGGGCCTCAGTTCCCAGGACTGTATTTGCAGTTTGGGAATTAATTACGCTTGTCTGTCCCTCTTCCCTGCTGGGGCCCAGGTTCTACCCTTTAACCCCTCATGCCTGCTGTGTTTCACTCTCTCTGGCCAGACTTTCTTGATGATGTCCCCCCAAGAAACACTTGTACTACTTGATTCAATGAATGCAGTCACATTGGCTCCAAGAATGGGTATATTCCCTTGTAGAATTTCTGCGTAAACAATCATTGGGCTGGGGAAGCTGTTTGTGTCTTTATTCATTTTAGCGTTCACTGTGATTGGGGCCACAGAAGAATTTGCTGCTCGAGAATTAACTGTTATAGTTAATGTTTCTGAGTTTGCTTTGGCTTGAAGACTGTAAGTCCAAACACCCACCTAAAAATTCAGTGGAAGTAGAGTATCAGATCAAGGTATTTTCTGTGTTTCCATTATCTAACTCTAAAATAAATCTTAGAAATATGTTGCAGAATAAACAGGGTTTTGAAATTTTTGAGATTTTTTTTAAGGTAAATGGATGAATATCAAGGCAATTTGGACAGGGCATTCTGGCTATTGTCATGCATGGTGTTCAAACTTTATGAAATCTCAGCTGGGAAAAAAAGTTTTGGCAAGTTTGCCTTGGTCTTGGCCTTATGGAGTTAAGAGATTTTTAATTCTTCATTCTATGATCTGATAATACTAATAAGCTGTACAGATTCCCTACATTGCCTCCTTAAAGTTATTTTTAGCCTCTCTAATTTTTTCTCTTCTTTCCTCCTAATGCATACATTCTTCTTTCCTTTCCTGCCACTATAATTTTCAGGACCATACAGGCATAGAAAGTACATTGTATTTTATCTAAATTTTGAAGATGATACAAGTATTGGTACTCATATTTATGATATTAAACAATGTATTTTTAGCTATGAAGCAGATTTATGTGGAAATAAAAAAGCTGATTGCTTACCTTTGCAGTTCCTGGAATACTGAAATAGGCCATTTTGGAAGCAGCGTCCACTGTGGAAATTTTCATTGGTGTTCCATTGGGATCCAAGAGAGAAATTGTGGGCTGCTGTCCTACCCATGTGATGAGAAAGAATGTGTCCTTCCCCACAGTGCTATCAATTATTACAGTTCCATTCATCCAGTGATTATTATTGAGTGTTAATCCCTTACTTTCAATCTGTATAAATATATATTATAAAATTAGTGACTGGAGAAAAGAGTAATTTTATTCTTTTTTCTTTTTTTAAAAAAACATAGTTCTTAATTCCTGGCCTGCGAACAAGCTTATATAGGGCATACCTCTGTAGGCTTGTGATCTCTTTGAAATCTGTTTGGGATGTGACAGTTGTTAGTCAGAAAGTATGGATGTATAGGATCTGAGTTAAAACCACTGGAGCAGGAGATGGGTTTTACAGTTGGAGACATTGCTGTATTATTTTTTCCCCAGTTGTTTTTGTATACACCCACCTGAGATTTTAGCATTAAAGGATGCTACAATGTCAAGGAAGAATTAGCTGTAGTGTGTGTGTGTGTGTGTGTGTGTGTGTGTGTGTGTGAGAGAGAGAGAGAGAGAGAGAGAGAGAGAGAGAGATCCTCAGTTTACCCATCTTCATGATGGTGGGGCTACAGTACTAGTATTTGAGTAGAGACATAGTTAGGTAAGGACCAGCAAGTAATGAGACAAGCACTCATGGATATTTTCCTGATGTAAAAACTTCACGTAATTTTTCACACATCCTAGGAGCCTCAAAGAAAGTTTTTCAAGTTTTTGAGGATGGCTCTTAGTAAAGTACAGCGAATTTTACCTACTGACCAAGAAAGTGCTTTCTACAGATGTGTCATTCCAGGAAATGATGGGAAATTCTAACTTCTATTCTAACCAAGTCCTTAACCAAAAATACCTCCATATCAGTACTGAGATAAGAGAGTGAATTCTACCATTGAAACATCATCGCAGTAACAAAAATCTCAGCCCTATGTTAAGTGGACAAAGTATTATTATCAAGTTAATCTGAATGTGAGTGCCTTTTTTAGACTCCCCACAAGGAACGTGTAAGAAAGCTAGAAAGCTTTGATTACATAGCAGTACTAGGGGACAGTAACTGAGTAAAGAGTGGGAAGCAACCTTTTCTCTGTATTCCAGCTGCCATTTTAAGGAGGGAATCAAAACCTTTCTGCCCCTTCCATACAGTTTAAGAAGTCCATGTTTAAAAGTCTGACCACTTCCTGTATGCAAATGACCTTTTTCTAGTTGATTTTCCATGTCCCACTCTTATATTAAAAATTTCTTTATGATATTCCATTTTAATGTCCCACCATCCACTAAAAATCACTAAAGTTTAAACAGAACACAAAACAATATATTCAAGTTCAGCTCTTCCCCTTTACTTGTCAACTTTAGAAAGTAGTATCATCATTTTCTAAGTCAACCAGGTTGAATCCCTCAGAATTTATTTTTATTCTCCTTCAACTTATTCTCCATACATTACCAAACTAAATTCCAGATGAATTTTTAACCTGTTTGCAAGGTGAAGCTACAAACCATATCTCAGCATCAATCTGCACATATAATCCTAATCCTGCATCCTATAATTTATGTGCTCTTCATTGTTGGAGACCAGAGGAAAATAGGTTTTTTTTAGTGATCATGTCAAGTTTTAATGTAGGCATAGACCTAATGAACTGGAAGGTGGAAGACAAGTTTTCACATAAGGTGACATGATGTAGATTTGGTGGGAATGGATAGGGGTAAAAACAGAATTTTGTAAAAAATACTTTCAAAGAAATAGTCTGTGTTGACATTTTACATTGGACGTGAATGAAGAATCAAAGTTTAGTCAAAGTTTTTGAATCTAAGTAACAGAAAATGAGGGTGTTATTTAAGCACGGGTGAAAAAAGGAGTTGAGTTCAGAAGAGAGGTGAATAAAATAGAAAGCCAGTGAAAAGAGTGGTTGAAGACATAAAGGAAACCCTAATTTTTTGGATCTGTAATGATTATTCATTCTCTTTCTTCAGATAAATTTCTTTCCAAGATACTTTCCTTCCATTTCTAATTCAAGTTCTTGACATCATTCACCTAACCTAAATTTATTTCACAGCAGTGAAAGGTGAGAGATATCTTGAAACTCTGATATATTTTTATGTATTTATAGAAAGAAATGGATGCTATATTGGGCAAAGTCTATATTTTATGAAAAATTTAACATTAAAAATATATTTTTGTTGATTTAAGAGAGGAAGAGAGAAGAAGAGAGAGAGAAACATCAATGATGAGAGAACCATTGATCAGCTGCATGTACCCTTGACTGGAATCGAACCCAGGACCCTTCAGTCCGCAGGCTGATGCTCTGTCCACTGAGCCAAACCGACTAGGGCAAAATTTAACATTTTAATGTTATTCCTTAACTAAACTCTATATAAGAAGAAAAAGAAATCTGCTATTTTACTACTTAATTTGGCCATATCTGAAGAATGGCCATGGATTTCTGTTACATACTTAGTTTTGATTTTAATTAATAACTTACTTTGAGAAAATATAGAACTCAAAACTTATAATAACCAAAGTATTTTTCTTGTTATGGCTAAACACAAACACAAAAACCTGAGGAATTGGAACTCAGACCTGAATAGACTTCTGGGAAATATCAGCGTTTCCTGATGTAAGGGCCCCGAAAGCATCAATGAGGCCATTGTTCTGGGCTTCATCTGAGGCAAGGAAATGTATTCCTCCTAAAATATAAATATATTTATTAGGTTGCTTTCTAGAAAATAAGTACTTATCACAATTTAGTGATTTTTAAGGTAACAGTAAAACTGTTATGCGCGCAGGTGAGGTCTGGAGTGGAGACAAAGACAGAGACAAGTGCCCAGAGCTGACACAGGCA